GACCTTCTGGGGGAGACCGCTGCCACGGTGTGAGGAGCTACAGGGGCAGAAGCTGGTGGTGGAGGAGAAACGACCATGTCTACACGTGCCTGCTTGCAAAGACCCTGAGGAAGAGAAACTCTAACACCTCTCTCCTCCACTCTGAGCACCCTGACCTTCCAAACCTCAATAAACTAACCTCTTCGAGCTCGTCTACGATTCCTTAAAGGAGGAAAAACAACCCATCCCCTTCCCCAAAAGTAGGGTGATAGCATCCCACAGGGCAAAGGGCACAGCACGGGCCAAGACACAGCAGTCTGTTGCGGACAACAGTATCTTCCACTGTGGTCGCAGGTTGGCAGGAGTGAAAGCGAGTGTGCAGCCCCAGCCTCTCCCCGCCGCTGCCATAACGCCAGCGTCTGGGCCCTGCGCAACCCCCCTTAGTGCTCCAGGGCCGCCCGGCACGTTCCTCTGCAGAGCTCCGCGTTACGAGTTCCCTGATTGGCTACTTGTCTTGGCAGGCACTTCTTGATTGGCCGGCGTGCTTGTTCGTTGTCTCCGCGCCTCCTGGACCTCCCTAGATTCCCACCAGCTGGAGCCTCAGAGGAGCCTCTGCTGGCCGACTCCGACTCCGCGTCTGTGGAGGATGAACGGCAGAGGCGTGGCCGAGGCTGGCACTCTGCCGCCCGAGCACCTGCACCCACCCACTCCCGACAGCCTAGCTCCAATGCCGCAATTACCAGCGACAAATAGCTCGGCGAGGCGGGGGGCGGGCCGAGGAAGTGCCTGTGTTGCGCTTTGAGCTGAGGCGGGGGCAAAGAAGTTAAGAGTCAGTGTCTGCCCGCAGGAGCCCCCAAGACAAATCCAGACACTTTCCCCTGGTATTTGTTCATTCATTCAACACTTATTAGCGCCTGCTGTATACTAAAGCTAAGTCTGAGCAGCTAGGGTGGAGGAGGGCTGATAGAAAGAGGACATCTGAGCGAGGGAACGGACTCAGAAGGTATTCCTTTCGTGTGAACATCTATTCAACACTTAACGCCTACTGTATACTAACAATAGTGCTGGACATCACGGGGAATAGAGAAGAAGACGAATCAGAGCGTTACGTGTCTCCGCAGTAAAGGGAACAAAGCCAGACACCAGTGCTCTTAGCATTTGCTCATTCATTTACCACTTACTGAATGCCAGGCCCCTTGTGAAGAGACGCATCATAAGAATCATAATAATCATGGTAATAGCTGCTACTTAGAAAGTACTTACTGTGTGCTTAGTAGTGTCTTAAGGCTTTCCATAGCATGAACTTATTTCGTCCAGAGCAGACCCATGTGAGTCAGTATTATTATCCCCATTTTACAAAGGAAACACGCACAGAAAGGTAGTAGGCTGGACATTTTTGAAGCATCTTAAATATCTTTTATTTTGAAGGTCTTAAATATCAAGAGCGCTGTGGGTGCAGGGGACCCCTCTGTGTGGGGAGGTTTTGGGTGGGAGGTTTGTGACATGCACACCCAGAGTATATCGGTACACTTACTTGACTTCTCTGGGTCGTTTTCCCCTTATTCAAATGGACCAGTCAATGAGTTGAAGTGAAGTGGAAGCTGATGAGTACTTACTGGTCATCTTGGGAAGACTGAGCCAAAGTGAGGGGTTCTGGTTGCTACTACAGGGTATGAGAGAGGTATATGTTTACAATAAAGTGGGAATTCAGCTGTGTGTGTGTGAGAGAGAGAGAGATGCAGACCTTTGGGGCTGTGCAAGAATTAAGGATGTATTGATATGTGGCATGTGTGTAAGGTTACAACTGTGTGTATGCCATAACAATGCAGGAGTCATGCGTGTATGCACATACACATGAAGGTACCATGGATATCTATGTGTGAGTTACAAACATGGGTACAATACTGAATGTGAACATATGTCAGGGGTGTGTGTTTGAGAGTCATTGCTCACCAGTGTACAGCAAAATCATTCTTGGGGCCCCTTTTGTACGCCTATTCCTGCTGAAGAAGATGGAGACAGTTTGGGGGAGCCTTACCTTTGCCTTAGTGAATTGAGGCACTCTGAATCCTCATTCCTTTACAAAACAATCTACAAAAAATTAATTTCTGGAAATTGAGCCAACTGGAAAAAGGAAATGGTGCTAGGGCCACAAGTACTAGGAACCTAGGAATGGGGACCCTAGGAAGAGGCGCAGCCTGGAGATAGTTTCCTGAGGAACCTGAATTCAGACCTAAAGGAGCCAGAAGGATCTGTAGACCTGCAGCTGTTCCTGTCTCCAAAGAGGGCACCGCACCCTGCACAGCTTGTTTGCTTCCGTTACTGGGCAAAAAACCAGGGAGCACATACTTCAAGACATTGGAAAATATCTGATTTGCGGGGAGATCCCCATCTGGGGAACACTGGGATTTGGAATGCCAGAGAAGGAATCCTGAAGGGAGGAGGAAAGAGTGGCCAAATCAAAGGCGTAGAGGTGGGACTGAAGCTGGCTGGGTTGGAGGAGGGAGTAGCGGATGGTTTAGGAAATGTTTGACTTGGGTACTGTGGAAGCCTAGAGGAGGAGGGGTGGAATCTGAGACCTGGAAGTGAGGAGTTCCTGCAGACAGTGGCCAAAGGCAGCCCTCGAGAAAGGGAAGGAGAGGGCATTCCTGGCAGAAGTTACAGCACATGCAAAGGTACGGAGGTTGCCCCCTTCCTACCCCTCTCCTTAGAGATGGGTTAGAGATGTACCCTTTTTACAGATGAGGAAACCAAATCTCAGATTAAGTCACTTTCCCAAGTGTATGGTGGAGACCCCACTTGAACCCAGGCACTGTGTCTCCAGACCCCGCACTATTACTGCCTTGTTTAAACCAGCCAATGATTTAATGAATAAAGGATGAACAAATGAATAAGTGGATGATTCACCTGAAAATTCTGCAGGCAAAAGAGACTCCATATCTACTTACTTCTTGCCTATCTTCTGCCACCTCTCCTAGTCCACCATCACTGCTCACTATGGTCAAGGTCCTACCCAATCTGGCCCCTGCTACCACAACCCCCTTCAGCTTGTTCCAGCCACATTGGCACTGGATGTTTTCTCCTCCTGGCACATTCTTAAAAGAAAAAAATGTATTGATCATAAAGTGAACATGACCCTTTGGGAATTAATTGGAGTTCTTATATTCCTTCATCTATAAAATAGAAATTATATTATCCACCCCATTGGATTGTTGTGAGGGTTGGATGAAATGATGCATGTAAACAGCTTAGTTAACAGTTGGGTACAAACAGTGAACAAATGATTATGAATTAGTGATTTTATTGTAGTCAGAATCATAAAGATTTGACAGGTTCCCATATCCCACCTCTGCTTGGACTACTTCATTTGCTTATATGCAAACATTATTTGGTACCTACTGTGTGTGCACCATGGGATGGGCCTGCCTCTGTGGAAAGTTCTTGGGTGCAGGGGGAGACAGCCATGGGCACTGATGACATCAGGTGGTTATCATGGGTTTTGGCTGTGTCCAGAGCAAAGGGATGGTGGCGTATATACCAAGTGTGTTCTGGTGTGGGGGTGGACATGCACCAGGGCTGGGGCTGCAGAGAATGTCTGTGTTGCAGATCTAGGTTTCTCCATGATCATCGGTGGGAATGTGTTTTGTTTGCGAGCGTATTCTCATATGAGTTTCCCTGGGTCTCTGTGTGTCAGTGTGTTGCCTGTGTATGTGTGCGTATGGGTGTATGCATGCGTGTATGTAATATGCCCATATGTGTTACCCTGGACTTGTATGTCTGTATGTATACCTAGACTGGCGTGTGTTCTCTGTCTGTACATGCCCTTGTATGTTTCCTCACTTTTGTGTGTGTTTATATGTGTGTCATTTCTTGTGTGCCTCCAGGCCCCCCTTGCCACCTTGGGCAAGGGTGTGTACACCGCCCAAGTGTCCACCTCCGCTTGTCTGATGCTGTCTACGACGCCCCCGCTCTCTGCCTAGCTGAGCCTGTGTGGACGTGGGAGACTAATCTCCCCGCGGGCACTGCGTGTGACCTCACCCCCCTCTGTGAGGGGGTTATTTCTCTACTTTCGTGTCTCTGAGTGTGCTTCCATTGCCCCCCTCCCCCCAAAAAATGCCTTCTGAGTTGAATATCAACACTACAAACCGAGTATTTGCGGAGGGCCCTGTGTATGAGTGCGAGTGGGTGTTAGGACCAGGATGAGGCGGAGTGGGGGTGCCTACCTGATGACCGACCCCGACCCTCTGGACAAGCACCCAACCCCCATTCCCCAAATTGCGCATCCCCTATCAGAAAGGGGGAGGGGAAACAGGATGCGGCGAGGCGCGTGCGCATTGCCAGCTTCAGCACCGCGGACAGCGCCTTCGCCCC